TTTTTTTTTTTTTTTTTTTTTTTCATTTTTTTGATGTTTTATTTATTTTTGAGAGAGAGAGAGAGAGAGAGAGAATGAGAACGAGAATGGGCGGGGGAGGAGCGGAGAGAGAAGGAGACAGAATCCAAAGCAGGCTGCAGGCTCTGAGCTGTCTGCACAGAGCCTGACACAGGGCTCAAACCCAAGAACTGTAAGATCATGACCTGAGCTGAGGTCGGATGCCCAACAAACTGAGCCACCCAGGCGCCCTGCCCCCTCCCCTCCCCAAATGTGGTTTTCAGCTGGGACAATGGGCTTGTGGCAGGGCAAAGACTCCCAGCCCGTACTGCTCCCCGTTAAACCTCACGGCTACGGTGGTCTCCAGAGCCCATACTGGTCCTAATCGCCTCCTGGGCTCCTGCCTCACTGCCCCTAACCACGCCTCCTGGGCTCCTGCCTCACTGCCCCTAACCACACAGTGGGCTCCCTCCAGGGGCTTCTGATGACCTCAGTTGAACTGGCAGGGGGAAAGACAGAATGAGGAGGATGGGAATAAGCTGTGACTCTTTCTACCAGTTCATCGGCTACAGTTTCTCCCTTAAGTCAAGGAAAAGTCAGCATTCGGAGAAGGCAGCTAGGGACCACTGGCTTGGCCTTTCTTTCCCCTTCTTGGACCATTTCACACACTTCTGGCCACGGAGATGGTCCTGACACACAAGACGTGCTGAATCATAGGCAGATGCTCACGCCTTCGAGCACAAAGTCTCCCACTGAGAAAATGAGTCATGATAGGTACTAAGGAGCTTGCAAGTAGACCTAAATGAGGCCTGATCTGCCTTCCTCAATGAAGCCTGTCTCACATTCTGGGTCTCTCCCTCCCTTTAAAATTTCTCAGGTCTTTACCAGAAAGATAACTGTACCTTTTCTAATAAAATCGACACATGAAATGATGTTTATCCATCCTCCACTTCTCCAAATCGAGACCGGGTTAAAACCAGACGTCCAGGCCATAAAGTCATGCCGGATGCTGCTGTCAACATCCATCCTTTGTCTACATTTAATACTGTTACCAGAAATGCACGCTCATTAGACTGAAACCAGGAATTTTAGTGTCTGGCAACTGACAGGAAAAAAGAATGTGAAATTCTCATTACCTTCCTTCACAAATATCCATCTTCAGTTGTAAGAAATACAAATGCCTACGAAACAATTTTTTTATTATTAATTCAGAACACTCAAACTGAAGCAAGCGCACACACAAAAAAGGCGACGAGTCAAGGACAAGATCTGTACATTCGGAAAACAAAATACATAAAAACGCATTTAAAAAAAAATTTTTTTTTTTTTAAGCAGGTTTCACGCCCGGTACAGGGCTTGTACTCATGACTCTGAGATCAAGATCGGAGTTGAGATCAAGTGTCAGATGCTTAACTGAGCCACCCAGGTGCCCCAAAACACGGTTCTGTCTGAAGTATCGGGGGCTAGGTTGTCCACCGCAAAGCTGCCCCTTCAGGAACAACGGCTCCTGTGGCTGTCTGACTTCCAGCCAGCCTCATGCCAGCACATGCTGTCCCAGGGATGGCTGAGCAGGGACGGAAAGGCTGGAGGCAGTCATCAGCCAGGACTGTTGCCAGCAGACACCCCCACCCCCGTAAACTCGGGGGCATCCGAGAGCACCAGGACCCACGAGCATTCTGCACAGGCAGCCCCCATGCACTGGGGAACCGCGTTTCACAACACACCCACGTTCCCTCTGCGTGAAGCGGCAGAGAGGAGGTGGGTCTGTGAGGACACCTCCTTGGCTGGGGTGCAAACACCCAGCTGAGTTTTTTCCTGTGTCCCGGGAACCGTGGGTGCTCGAGCAAAAGCATAAGCATCAATCAGCTACCCGCTGCCAGGACCTCCGAGCTGAATTCGGCACTGGTCTGTGAGCCACCAGGAACGGCACTTCAGAACCCAACACGTGACTTGTGGGCAGAGCTCGGTAACCCAGGGCAGGGCACCCTGCAAGTCTGCCCACCATCCAGGGAGTGGGGAGCAGACACCAGTGAGAGCGCTGCTCGGGCCACGAAGGGATATGGAAAACTTTATATTTAGGGATGCGGCATACATGTGACACTTGGCTGCTAGCTCCCACTCTTTTTTAAAGCCCGGGTTCAAATGGGATAGACATTCCAGTGTCTGGCCAAGAGGACAAAAGGGAAACTTCTTGAAATATAATACAGATACAGCAGAAGTGTCCCGGGGCAGGGGAGTGATGATTTGGGCAATTTAAAACACATCGGGTCTCATGATGCCTTCAAATTTATATGTTCAAAAGGTCAAGGCGCTGGTGTTCTGGGACATGAATATGTCATGTGGCATTACAACCCCCTCTCTGCACAGTTCTGGGCCGGATGCAGGGAACTTCATAATGGCTTGCCTTATTTCAGCCTCGTACAGCTCAGAAGGAGGCACTGCCACCTCCTATTTTTGAGGAAACAGACATTCAGATAGGTTATGTGGGGTCAGTTAGATCTGATTTTAATCTGGACCGTCATACTATGAAAAACCTGAGTATGCTACAAATTTCTTATGCATCTAGTGACTACAGGCTTAGGGTCAGTTTCCTAGCTCTGATATATATTATTATGTTGCCTATAGTTATCAACTACCCTTCCTGTGTTGAAGACCAGCACTGAGAAACGGGGTAGCATACGTGTGCTGATTCATGCTTATTTTGTATTGGAGACCATCTTTTTCACCTACGAGAACATCATCAGTCCTTTCTAGTTTGTTCCTATGTTTATCTAAGCTGACATTCAACCAGAATTAAGTGTTCTCTCCTACAGTGCTACTGAGAGAAAGCAGAGAAGGGAGAGAATGCTGGATAATCCTATGGTAAATCTGGCCCTCCAGGGGCAAGCCCAGCTGATCGGTGATTCTTCCTAGGGAGGGAAATGAACATGAACCTGGAGATCACCATTCATCAAGTGCTACGTTATCACATAGTCGGCAAAGTGTCTGAGTCAATCTCATGACATTGTACAAAGAGGCTGTAATAGTGGAAGGAGGACCAAAGTTTGGGGGGTCTCCTGGGAATCCTGAAGGAGCCTCATTTCAAAGCTACCAGTAAATGAAATTCTGTGTAGGGTGACCTAAATTTATCAGGAACAGCAGCTGTGGAGGCTCACGATCAAGGAGATGTTTAACAAGTAGAATAAAAGAAAACCACACAGTTGGCACGCCTGACTTCAGAAATGTAAAGGTCACTCCTAGAGTGACCATGACCTCAACTTCACAAAAAGGGCAACAGATGCCTCCCAGCCCAGAATTTTAGGAAAAAAAACCCCCAGAAAACAACAAATACCACTTTCTCCGATGCTTGAAGGCTCAATGTCTTTAAGAAGGATTTATTTTTGGATAGGCTACAGAGCTGAGGCTTAATAGAATACTGTGTGTCAGGAATATAGGCGAAACTCTAAGTTAAAAAAAAAAAAAAGACATGTGAATTAATGGTGGACGTCTGGCTCAGCATAAGGAAAAGATCTGGCAGTCATGGCTGCCCACCAGCTCTATAGGCGCCATGTGGGTGGCTGCTACTGTGGCTCCTGTTACATTGAAATCTGCTGCCCCAAATCCCAGGAGGTGACAGCTACACTCCATTCCACACTGGGGATACCACCCATCTTAAGATGGGAGGTGGGGTGCATACAGTCAGGTGTCAGTCCTAAAGCAGTGAACTGTATGAGGGACACAAACAAATCAAATTTTATCCTGGGCTCAGGTAAGAACGAAAATTAGTCTATTACTCATTTTGTGCCAAAATCTGCCTCTCTGGATGCTCTGCCCGCTGGCCATTATGCTACCACCAAGCATGTCTAATTCCCCTCATCCCTTACAGATCTCAAGGCAACCTGTCTCTCCCCAAGTCCTCCTTCCATCCCGTCAAATGTCAGGTTCAGCAGGAAGATTCCGTTGGCACCCAGAGGGAGTGAGCCTCTCTCCTGTGGGGTATGGAAGTAGACGCCCGATCCCCAAGAGGGGCACTGGAGAAAGAGACTCTTGGGTTAGGCCAGCCCTAGTCATCCCTTCACTCAAGGTCTTTGGAGAACGCTACCATGCCCGCGGCCACCACACCCCTGTAGCTCTAGCATCACATGGGGGGGGGGCAGGTACGACAATGAGTGACAATTACTAGGTTAGGTAGTGCAGTTCTCACTTGGGGTTAGAGGCTATCAGTTGGTCATAAATGGAACAGGTCACAATGGGCATTTTAAAAAGAAGGAAATAGAGAATAGAAAACTATCTGCACTTGGTATTGTTTTATTAAACACTTGCTTCGGTAATATATATCTGTACTGCATTGCGAAGCAAAATACATTTTTGCTGTGTGGTTGTGATTTAAAAACCAACTGGTTAAAAAACCACACACATGTATGCATATACATATATAATCCATCATAACATTTTTAAAGCATCCTTTGAACAGAACTTGATATTTAGTAACGGTCGGCGGGGGGGGGTGGACCTTGGTAGGGTCATTTCAAACTCATTTTCCTATAGATTATGTCACCCCTCTGTGTCCGCCAGCTCATAAACTGATCTGCTATACCCCCCTTAGTCCACCAGCATTAGGAGCCATTATGGGGAAAACTCAGAGCACCATGTGAACTTCCCATGGTTATCCAATGACCAGTGCTGGGCATCTCTTACTCTGGCGTAAAATTTAATTTAACAGTAAACATAGTCAAATCTCCAATGGCTGCTACCTAGAGGGAAGAGGTGCACAAAGAAAGCAAAACAGAATAACAGACTAATATTTACCCTTTAAACACATTAAAAGTTAAAATGTCATCATGTGGTTACCTTCAAAAGCAAAACAAAACAAAACATAGTACTCAATGCCTGAGTTGATGTCACCTTGTTGGTGTTGGTCTCATGGGAACAATGAACACAGAATAGGAGTCAATATTCCTAATATCCACTTTTATTTTATTTTTTCTGGTAGAGGAAACACTCTGGAAATTTCCCTCCCTATGAAAAATAAACAGATCAATAATAAAAGGGCTCAACGTTGCCATGGGGGAGGGGAAGTAGAGGCAGGGTCACTGTTGAAACAGCAACAACCTTCCTGTGTCCACCCCCTCCATTCCAAACACTGTTCCCCACCCAGAAACCCCACGTGCCAGTACAAAACAAGAGCCAGGCCCTACGCCAAGCCCTGAGGGGTAAACAATCCTATCTGGGCTCTCTTTCCCTTATCTGGTTCACATTTTGCCTGCGCACCCTGATTCACTCAGGAGAGAAGCTGGTCCAGCTTGCATAGCTTTCTGTCTCTTACCAACTAGGGATGTGGCAGAGAATGCTTAGTTTAGACACCTCGTTATCCTAAAGGGCCTCGGTTCTAGTCTAGCAGAGACACGGGGCTATTTCATCTGGGGATGACCGTTTCACACAATGGTCTTCCAAACCCTGCCTGCGTTAGAGAACGGATAACTTTGCTTCCTTTGGGCACTTCACTCTCAACAGGCAGGAGAGGCTGGGGCAGCGGGGGAGGCAGGAGGAGGTGGAAGGGAGTGTATTGGGAATTGCACCAAGTAAGGACGTAAGTAGGTCCAAGACAGAGAACTAATCAGCTGATGAAAAGTTCAGTATGTACCCCTCCGATTTTTACCTGGATGGGAACCACTGGTGTGGTTCTACCCAAATGAAGTGTATGGCCACAGTGATAAAATAACGCGTACATTCTTAGTGGTTACTCATTTTAATAGACTAAAAAGGAAACTTAAAAAAAAAAAGTGATTACCTGGTTTGTTCTTGCTGCAGTGTGTTGGGATCAGGTATAAAAAATCTTACTCGAAAATGCAGAGTACAGGGGAAACCTCCTACAACATTTTTCAAAAACAAATTTAAGTTTTCCCTTTAAAAAAGTCAATGCAGGTAAGCTGCTACTCTCCCATTAAGTGATGCATTTTTTTTTTTTCCACTAGACCACTGCTTTTTTCCATCGATACAAGGACTAATTTTGAACAAGGAGTGCACAGGTTAAGTGACTATTTAGAAATCTCCAAGTCTGCAAAAAGTAGAATAATCTGCAATATGAGCACAGAATGAGGTATTACCACCTAATACAGGTTTAACTTAGAGCTGTGTTCAAATAATGCACTCCATTATCTAGATCAGGAATTTTAAAAATTCCTGACATCAACAGATTATACAAGATTCACAAAGAAATAACCTCACATATATAGCGACTTTATACTTTTCCCAAACATTTTCAGGTATATTCTTGAATTGAAACACCGCCTTAACTCTGAGTAGGCTCGGCTGGTGTTGATGGCACTGTTTTTGCAGACGGGCCAACAGGCACAGAGACTTGCCTTGGGTCACACAGCTGATGACAGTACCAGAACGGTAGCACTGAGGTTTTTGATTCTGCTATGCCACCTCTCAGTCACGTTTATATTGGACAACAGTTCATGCTTTTTAACGCAAAGTAAATTCCCAAAGTGACGAACATACTAGCAAACATTATTATGCAATTAATTACCATACTCAAATACGGCTTTATGCAACAATACCAAGAATCGATTTGCTTGCAGAGATAAAATTAGCCCATTTCTTTTGCTAGATATGGCAACAGGAGAAGAGGAGATTATGTTGCTAAGCTCCGTGCTCTCCTTCAGGTCGGCTGCACCCCTCTCCGTTACTCAGTAAATGTTCGCTGGCCCTATCTATGTGCTCGGCACTTTCCTGCTTCAGAAACTCAAGCCTTCTCTACCCTGCTCCTCTTACAGACTTGTCGACCTCAGTTCATCTGGGGTTCTACCTCCCCTCTCTATAGTTCTTTCTGTCAGTCTCTCTCCTGTGTCAAAGACTCAAGCAGTGTGTGTGCACCTACGAATGTACCTTTGCATGTGTGCCCAGGGACCAGTGGGTGACGCTGTAACTTGGTACAGGCTGACCACCTGCACATCAGGGGACAGCTAAGTGTTCCCATGCCTTGGGACATCCTCTCAGCTCCTTCCCACCAGACCTTGTCAATGTGTGTCTCAGGATGCCTTTGTGCACCCAGAGTGTCCTATCACGTGCTCAGAACTATCCTAGAACCCTCACTCTCCTGGTGTCCATATCCCCATGCTTGGCTGTGAGCTCCTTGAGGGCAGGTCCAAATCTGATTTGGACCGGATTCTCAGAGCTTAGCCCAGTGCCTTGCCAAAATCTGAGCTCAGGATACACTTCCCGAATGAATGAGTTAGTGAGGGAATGAACGACGAGGGAATGTATTCATGCCTGTGTGGACTCACTGCTCTGAGACTTCAAATGGGGGCAGGCATGTATCTGCACAACGGCTCTGTGGCTCCCTGTGGGCAGTTCTGAATGCTGAGGGAGGTCAGGACTTGGAGGCCCACGCTCCAGGGGACAGCAGCAGTGGGATCCTGGCCACGGTTCCTTGTCTCTGCTCCTTCCCGTGTGGGTGCTTGGGCGAGTGGGGGGAGGTGGCATACGTGTGTGCACACTTATGTGTAAAAATCCACCTGCCGTTCACCCCTCAGCCATTCACTGGCCACCTCCTGGGGAGGGGGTGCATTGTGAGGAATGCAGAGAAGGTATGGCAGGGGCCCTGACCTGAAGGAGCTGGCAGTTTCCAAGGAAGATTAAGGCAGGCGACTGGGAGATGAAGGACAGTGCTCCGAGGAGCAAAGCAGATAATGACACATGAAGGGAGGGTGGGGGGGGGAGGGGTCATGGCTTCTAGTAGAAGTAGGGATAGAGTCTGAGTGGCTTTGAAGAACAGCAAGATTTGGATATAGAGAAGAGGGAAAAGCAATCCCAACAGAGGGAACAGACTGAGGGAAGGTACAGAGGAATGTGTGCAGCCTGGGAGGTCAGCCAGGTTTGTCTGGGGCATAAAGTGCATAAAGGGGAACAGAGAGTGCGATGCTAGAAACCAGGCTGAGGACGGATCCAGGCGGAGGGTGGGGTGGGGCATGGTGTGAAACCCCGTCTAAATGGGAGTTAATGTACAGCACTGGGCTTAGGAGCAGTATGTTATATGTTATATTGACTACCTATGTCTCAGACTCCAGTAGGAGGGGTGTGTATGTGTGTGTGTGTGCATGCATGTGCTTGCATGCACACGTGCCTTTCCCACCCTGGCTCTCACACTGGGCTAAGAAAAGCCATCGCCCTTCCCTTGTAAGAAGAAAGTAGGTTCCTGAGCTCTTGGCTGCCTTCTTTCACCTTTCCTGCTCACTGCTGGTGAGGACTGATCTGAAAGCATCTCTGCTCACTCAGAAGTCAAACAGGGAGAAGACAGTTTACTCACATCACCTGGACCACCTGGAAGCCGGGTCCCAGATGTTAACAGGCACACGGATAATTGGAAGAGAGAAACGGGCCGTGATACACGAATACCCAGTGTTCAACTGAAATGAGAAGGTCAGCCTCACCTTTTAACTGCTTCCTGATGGGCTTGCTTGATTCCAGCCATCTCTGTTGGGTAAGAAAACATAAGATATAAAACCAAACCATACAGAAATCCAGCGACGTCTTAAAGGGATGATACTTACAAGAGAGTCTACTGAATCATCGCCATGCTGCAAACCAAAATATTCCTTTTCGGTCACACCCAAGTGGTTGTATGCCATATCCAGAAGAACTTGACCGGTATCTTGTTTCTAAGAAAAAAAAAAACAAAACAAAAGGTCTAGTGGGCATATTTTTAAAATGAATGAAAAACCAATGGTTAAATATCTTTATTGTAGGCAAAAAGGAGTTAAAATATTTAGAGATTTTATGCACACTCGTATCTTGTAGTAAGAAATGCTTTAATAAATGTCACGCTAAGAAGTCACATGGTACGCATGGGAAGTAGGGCTCGAAGAAAAACCACATAAATATGATTTAAGACAGTAAATTGTCTGAGACTTCTTCCTTCCCCTTAGCAGAGATTCCCAAGTGATGTGTGAATTGGGAAACACAGATATCACGATGAGAGTAAACTCTCCATGACCTACCCATGGATTATCCACGGCAAAACGCTAATCCCACATCAGTTTTGTTGACCCCTCGGGAGCCACGGAAGCGTGTACAGGGAAGAAAACTACTAACAGCATGAGGAAGATGGCTAAGAATAAGCAAATGCCATCCTAAACGCCCTCAAAGTGACTTGGCGTGTGTCACCCTGGGGGATCATCTGCCACTCTGCTCTCTGCCATCTGAAGTGAGAAGTCAGTGGGGACATTCAACTGCACTTTGCATCTACGGCAGGACTCAGCCACTGTCACCACTTGGTGTTTATGAAGCAGGCACAGTGCTGAGCATGGGGACCGAGCCACAGTTAATGTCCCAGAGAGGCCAGGCATAGAAGCAGTGACCGTAACATGGCGAGCCAAATGCTGTCGAGTGCCGTGACACCCTCAGGGCACAGAAAACACACAGAGGACGATACGAATGGTTAATTCAACCTGGGGCCAAGTGGAAGCAACTCCTGACCTGGGTCTGGGAGGGTGACAGGGCTGAGTACATTAAAAAAAATTTTTTTATTAACTTTTTTAATGTTTTATTTATTTGGGGAGGGGAGGGGCAGAGAGAGGGGGATGGAGGACCTGAAGCGGGCTCTGCGCTGACAGCAGTGAGCCTGATGTGGGGCTTGAACTCATGAACCGTGAGATTATGACCTGAGCCGAAGTTGGACGCTCAACAGACCGAGCCACCCAGGCGTCCTAAAGAGAAGGCATCTTAAACAGTGCGCCTGGCACAAAGGCACGGGGGTGGGAGACAGCATGGTGCCTCTGGGAAATCGCAAATTCTCCTTCAACAGGCAGACTTCTCAGGAATCCTTTGAACCAAACCATTCGACTTAAGGACACTGAGACTCAGAAATAGACTATAAAGAACAAGCAAAAAGACAGCTCCTTTTTTGAGTGCTAGAGAGAAGATCATGCACCTGGAAATTGACCACAGTGACCAGGAAGAGGAGAATTAGGTAGTCATCAGGCCCCCTCCTGCAGCCTCCTCTTTGGTGTGGTCTTATATTGTTTGGCCATAGTGTGGGAACATGAGACACACCCATTTCCTGCACACATTCCCCCCTTCCTGCCTGAGGGCCCTGCACCTGCTGCCTCTTTTACCCGGGACCGCTTCCATCACAAGGGAATCATGACAGTGTGGAAAAGATGGCCCACCCAGTCCACATATTCCAAAATATGAGATACTGTCCCCCTCAATTAGGAGATACTCTCCTGGTGCATCAAAGACCTTGGTTTCCCTTAATTAAAAAAAATTTTTTTTAAATCTTTATTTGTTTTAGAGAGACAGAGCACGAGCAGGGGAAGAACAGAGAGAGAGGGAGACACAGAATCTGAAGTAGACTCCAGGCTCTGAGCTGTCAGCACAGAGCCTGACATAGGGCTCCAACTCACAAACCGCGAGATCATGACCTGAGCCGAAGTCGGACGCTTAACCGACTGAGCCACCCAGGCGCCCCGCCTTGTTAAAATTTTTATAGAATTTTATATTATACTTAATAGATAAGTAACTATCAAATATCCACAATGAGCCAGATATGACACGACATGCACTATTTATATATGATCTCGAATCTTTGTGGCTGTTCATAAAGTCATCACCAGCATCCCCTTTGCCGTGAGCAAACAGAGGTGCTGGGAGGCTCCAGGCTGTCAGCTGATGGACGGTCTGCCTGCCTGAGTATGGTGTGCTGGCTGCCAAAGGCTACATGTCCCCACAATGTTGCATCTCCCCTCTAGAGTGCAAAACTCACCCATTCTGGTATATTTTTCCCAACTTTCCCAGTTCCCAAAAGGAACTGAAACATAATAAAGGGCACATTTATAAAGAACAAGCCTCCCAGCCCAGTCCCCTACTCCATCAGAGGCCATCTTTGCTATGCCAGGTCACTGTCCGTGACCAGCTTGCTCCCTGGGATGGGCTAAGAACAAGTGATGTATAGGCCAGCTTCCTGATGATGCCTGCTCCTGCCCATAAGGGGGTCTGGGCTCAAGAGTTGGTGCCAACGCTCCCTACAAGTAGAAGATCTAAAGTGACAGGGATTCTAAGCTGCCACCAGGCCCTCAGACTCAAGTTCAATGTGAGTCAGCTTTGACCGGACTGCTGGAAGCTTGAGGAAGCAACAATGGCAGCAGCATGATAAGGACAATGGTGTTCATGTTCATAAGAACATGTTCTAGGATCATCGCTCTGGGCAGGCGCTTTCCTTATCCCTGTTTACAGGGATCCTCACTCCCCCTTTAAAAAGTTCTGGCCTGGGATTCTCAGACATTGGCTCTTGCTCTCCTTCTCCCTTCTGGGACAGTCTGTCCCTGTCTCCTGTAGTGCCTATTTCTTGTCTCTCAAACCTTTCAACACGGACCCTTGTTCGTACCTTCTGTGTCCTCACTTCCCAGCTGACCTCACCCCGTTTTGTAGCCCCACATCCGCATCCCAGACTTAACGCTTCCCTTAACCTTCTCCCTTGTATATCTGACACCATCTCTATGTAGACGAGTACCAGGCACCTCAAACTCAACGCGTCCTTGACAGAACTGGTTATCTCCACCCCCAAGCCTACCCTTCTTACAGCCTTTCCCATCTCTATCGACCCCAACTCCATCTTGCTAGTTTCCCAGGCCGACAACCCTGAGAGTCACCTTGAGGGCCTCTTTCCCATCCCAAATTCCATCTATTAGCAAATCCCACTGGCTCTGCCTTGAAAATAGTTTCAGACTTGGTTTATTCTTAGCCACCTCCACACTACCATCCTGTCCAACTCTCCTCCTCCTCCTCTCCCCTGGACTGTTATAATATCCTCTTAGTCCTTGCCTCTCCCCCCCCCCCCCTGCCCAACAGTCTACTATTGACAGGGCATCCAGAGTCACACTTGAGTCACATCATGTAAGGTCTCTGCCCAGACCTACCAATGGTTTCTGCCTCCCTCAGAATAAAACCAGCACCCTCAGGATGACCTATAAGGCTCTACGCAGCACCCACCCCCCCCAACCCAACACCTATCACCTCTGACCTCTCCTGCTACTCTCTCCCTTGTTCATTCCACTCCAGACACACTAGCTTCCATACTGCTCTGCAACTACACTCAGTGGGATCCTGCCTCAGGACCTTTGCACTGCTACTTCTTTTACCTCGAATGTGCATTCCCTCCAGAGAACAACATAGTTCTTTCCTTCATTTCTTTTAGATGAGGTCTTCTCTGGTCACTTCTATAGAATGATAACCCCACAACTGCCCTGCTCTGGTCCTACCTTCCTCATCCCGCTTTATTTTTCTTCTAAATACATACCACCTGACACAGTATACATTTGTTTATGGTCCATTTCTTCACACTAGACATAAGCTTTAAAAGGCCACATACTTGGCTGTTCTGTTCACTTCTGTATTCTTTATAACCAGCATGAAGCCTGACACATAGTAGGTGCCCAGTAAACATTTGATGAATAAACACTCACGTTCTTGTCAGAAAGAAGATAAACAGCAAAGGAATAGCTCCCAAACCAACAACAAAGGAGCCAGGCATGTACTGTCAATTTAGAGCATCTGGAAGAGGCATACGTGACCCTTTTAGAGAAACTGCCATGCTGTGACTTCCTGCAAACTGCCCTCCCCTCTTGTCTGCTCAGCCATCAAGGTCCATAGTGACCTGGGGTCAGCGGGAGGCAAACTTAGGGGTGGGGTGGAAGACCCAGGGGCCAGTTTTTGTTACCCTTTCAATTTCTGTGGCCTTCTATTACCCCTGGTTGTTCTCTTGTACCCAATCTTCCCTTTCCAACCCCTCTCCTTACACACTGAACTTTCCAGGTTGGGGCAGATGCTGGCAGCCAGTCCAGGACTGGGGTTGACCCCCTTAGGACCAGCCAGAGTATGGGAGAGACAGGCAGAGGTCATGGGCCTAAACGGTGACTGGGGGAGGGTGGGACGGCATGACTGCTACAGTTCAAGGATCTCACTGGTGGCCTGATACTGGAGGCCTCGTTTCCAGTCCTGCGTCTGTCATGAGCTTGAGGTGGGAGAAGCCAGGCTCTCCCTGAGCCCTGCCATTTATGAGGCACACATCTTACTACCGTCCAGATTGGACCCATGAACTCATGCCATAATAAGCACCTGCTATGTGCCTGGTCCTGGACCGGGCCCAGGGGAGATGACACCATGCCTGTCCCCAGGAGCTCACAACTTAAAGAACATACAGCCTAGTAATTATAACGACTATTAACGAAATGTGACATGGGCTCTAATAAAGCAGACAGGGAACCATTATGGGAGAACGAGCTCAGGAAGCTGATGAAGATGGCACAGAACAGGTAACATCGAAGTGTCACTCAGTTCGTGTCACCAAGAAGTGGGGGCAAGGCACTCCAGGTGAACAAGAATGTGAGCAAAGTTTTTAGGGTTATTTCCAGGCCAATCTCAACATACAAGATCTGAGACCTCAAGCTTTCATTTAAAAACAGTTTTGAGGGGCGCCTGGGTGGCTCAGTCGGTTGAGCGTCCGACTTCGGCTCAGGTCATGATCTCGCCATCCATTGGGATTCGGGGCCGATGTCCCGGGCTCTGTGCTTGACAGCTCAGAGCCTGGAGACTGTTTCAGATTCTGTGTCTCCCTCTCTCTGACCCTCCCCCATTCATGCTCTGTCTCTCTCTGTCTCAAAAATAAATAAACGTAAAAAAAAAAATTAAAAAAATAAAAAATTTTGATATCTTGGCTTATAAAATGAAGAAACATTATGACTTAACAGCATTAATTCAGAAAAGATTAAATTTGGAGACCTTACATTGGCTTTAAAAGTCTGTACCAAGCCATCTAAAAAGCGGATGCTGCAGACGACTTCAGATCGAGTTTTCTCTTTGGGTAATTCTGAGGTGCGTATGTTATTAATTCTTCCACCCAATGCACGTAACCGGGAGGTCATAACTGTCGTTGAATAACCTGTAACAGAAAGTACACTTGTTAGCTCTCTGACATGAAAATTACCTGCTACGTGTGGATGCACCTCACAGTCCACCTATCCCGTGTCTGCTTTGATCCTCATAAAACTGAAGGCCTCAGACAAATGAGAACCAGATAACAGACCGTGTTTCCATTCGACTTCTAAGCGGCTCTAAGCAAAATGTATTGCTCCGTTATAACATGTTAACAGAATTATATGGCTTATTTGTGTGTTTTATCTCCCTGGTCTAAACCTAATTTATATTTCCCAGGCTTTTAATTTTTTATGTTTAACTTTTTGTATATATTTGTGAACTCTACTATTTTTTTAACGAACTAAATGTCATGTAAAAATGATTTAAAATATTAAGATACTTATTGGTCAATTAAACTACATTAAGTAACTTACAGTCATTAAAAGACACCATTTAGGGGCACCTGGGTGGCTCAGTTGGTTGGGTGTCCAACTTTGGCTCAGGTCATGATCTCAGGGCTCGTGAATTCAAGCCCCACGTCGGGCACTGTGCTGACAGCTCAGAGCCTGGAGCCTGCTTTGGATTCTGTGTCTCCCTCTCTCTCTCTGCCCCCTCCCCCACTCATGCTATTTCTCTCCCTCAAAAATAAATAAACATTTTTTTAGAGCTCCTGTAAATCAGTAAGAGAAAAAAACAAGCAATCTGGCGGAAAATGGGAACCACGTTCGTTGTCAAAGAAATGCGAATTAAAACCACAAAGTAATGGTACCACATACCCACCAGAATGGCTACAATGAAATCTAACAAAACCAAGTGCTGGCCAGGGTATGTGGCAACTGGAACTTTCAGGCACTGCTGGTAAGAATGAAAATTAGCGCAACTCTTTTGGAAAACGGTTTGGCAGAAGCTACTAGCACTGAACATATGCATATTCTGTGACATAATTCCACTCCTAGGCATATTCCCAACAGAAAAATGTAGATTTACCCACTAAAAGACATGCATGAGAATTTTTATAATAGCCCCAAACTGGAAAAGACTCAAATGCCCATCAACAGAGGGAAATTGTGGTATAGTCATACCATGCTTAACTGTACAGCAAAGGAAATAAGTGAACCACTGTGATGTGAAACACAAGTGAATTCTTCCGTTATGTTGAGCAAAAGCAGCCAGATACAACAGATTACCAACAACATGAATCCATTTGCATAAAGTTCAGAAACAGGCAAAACTGATCAACGCTAACAGAGCACAGAAGCGTAGTCACCCCTGTGGGAAGTGACCAGTGTCCAGAAGTGGACAGGAGACTTCTGGGATGCTTATAATAGTCTGTTGATCTGGGTACTGACCCTGGTGTGCACGCTTTGTGAGGCTTCATCAAGCTCTACACTTATTTGTGTACTTGTCTGTATACTGCAATATCAAGTTCACTTAAAATAATACAGGGAGGAAGAGGGAGTTAGTTTAAAATCTGACTCTCTATTCAGGGAACGACAAGGAAAGAGGTCTTTCTAGTGAATGCAACTGTAGGGCAGTAGACTAAAAAAAGACTGAGGAAGTGTGCAGTGAGCACACGGTCACATCACGCAGGCAGGAAAGACAAGGGTCTAGGCCAGCTCCTCAGCTTAGGGAATGGAGGAGGTGTAAATCTGACAAGGTTGGAGGGAAGAACAGATAAAGGTGAAGGACTTAAGGGCAATTTAATGTTCTTTTTTGTTAATTCTCTGCAAACTTTCCAAGATGACCTGGGCCTTTGCATGAGCTATTCCCTCTGCCTAGAAAGTTCTTTCTGTTCCTCTTCAGTCCTCAGTGCCCAGCACAAGCATCACTTCCTCAGCAAAGCCTTCCCTGGTGTCCATAACTACTATTTGTGTTAGAGGCTCTCCTGTGTGGTGCTCAGGACAATGCCACAGTTACAGCTGGTGACGTATTTAACACTGGCCTCTGCCACCAGAAGCTAAGCTTCACAAGGGTAGGGACCAGGTCTGGTTTTACTCACCGCATCTCCCAACACCTACCCAGCTCTGGGAGGCAGCCAAGAAATAGCTGAACAACAACTCAATGAGTAAAAGGAAAAATGAAATGAAAAATGAAGCCAAGACTAGCACCTGGAAAAACAGTGCTACCTGATAAGACAAACTTGGGTTGTGGGAGCAGGAAGGAGGATGGAACGAAGGTGGGGACATCCCCTAGACCAGGGTTCCCCACACTGTAAGCTGCACACAACAGGGGCAACCTAGAATGCAAGGGGGGCTGAGGGGGGGCCCGGGAGTCTGCAATTCTCAGTCTCCCAGGTGACAGAGCCGCTGATCCGGGGTTCACACTGTGAGGAACAAGTCACGGATAACTGGAAAAGCAGCACTAGATGTCAGGCAGGGTCAGAAAGCAAGACTGCGGAATCAGCAGCAAGGAAGGGATGAGCACAAAGCAGACCGGCGCCTGAGAATCAAGCCTCAGGGGACCACTGGAGGCACAGCTGAGCGGCAGGAAGCAGAAACACAAAGTAGGTGAAGGCTCCAGGAGAGAAGGGTGCACTTGGTCCCTCTTCCTACAGCGGGAGCTCCAGACAAACCTCCATTCTTCTGTAGATAGGGACAGGCAATCTCAAATATTAATAAAACAAATTCCGGGGACCGGCAGTGGGAGAAAAAGTACTCTGTCACTTATAAAATTCCACCCACCCCACCACCTCCACCTTGCCCTTTCCAACGAAAATGTCATCAGAAGCAGGGATGCATTTTCTGAGTAATACCACGAGTTATCAAAAGACAACAAACGTGTTCCATAATACTTTAACCACTTTGAATTTAAAATGTCAAATTTATTGTTTAGTCCTTGTCTAAGAATTTCAGGTGGGCTAGAATTTTTTTTTTTTTTTT